AGACATAGTCAGTTGTCCTTAGTCCGGGAGTATGGTCAGGACATGGAATCTGTCATTAGTCCGGGAGTATGGATTTAGACATAGACCAATTGTCCCTTATCCGGGAGTATGGAATGGGGACAATCATGGACTCGAGAATATGGATTAGATCCGGGAGTAAGAGTTAAAATTTAAGGTCCAAGGGAATGGATAGTCTCGTTTTGAGGATTGACGGGGTGGGGTAAGAGTTGGTTATATATATATATATATATATATATATATATATATATATATATATATATATATATATATATATATATATATATATATATATATATATACAGAGAAAATTTTATATTGTGTGAATTCTAGATTATATATATATATATATATAGATGTTATAACATTATGGGATTGAAATCCCTATGTACTCACCAGGTTTCCCAACCTGACCCACTTAAGCTTATTTGTATCACAGGTGTCGATACGAAGCTACTTTACACTGAGAGATTTAAAAGAGATGTAGAGCACTAGTGTAAATGAATGTAAGTTCTGTTTATGCTTATGTTTCTGTATTGACGATGACATCCCAAGGTTTTAAAAGGAATAAAAATACATTTCTTCATAAATGCTTTTGATAATTTATTTATCATGTTTTTCTGGGAGCAAATTCCGCAACTCTTTTATTAAAATTATTACTCTGATTTTTAAACAAAGCATAAACAAATCGGTCTTTTCTGGCCGTGAAAATGGGGATGTCACAATATTATTCAATTATAGGGTCAAAATTAAAAGTACCTCATCACTGGGATGTTACATCTTGTCTCCTCTTGGAGAATTTATTTATTGGCTCCACTATGTGTCGGAATGCCTTCACGAATGTGGAATACACATGATATATTCCATCTGTAAGATAATACCTAAACTTATATACATTTCCATTTAATGTAAAAGGAGCATGTAGTGGCTTTCCTGACAGAATATTGTTGAATATTGGTGACTGATAAAGAACGTTGACGTCGTTGTTGGAACCCGCAACCCCGAAATAATCATGTCGAATCCATAAATCTTAGGAAGTAACAACCTCTAATACTAACGAAGGTTCTCTATGATGATCACTTGCATACTGACCTTTCTTCGTCGTGAGATAATTTCTCCATTTCCAGTGTGTGCAATCAATACTACCAAGCATACCCGAAAAACAATGTCTTTCTTCATGTGCCAGATATAGTTGTTGCATATCATTAACGAAGGTTTCCGCAACTAAACATCACTGAATGTTTCAACAGCACCTCTTGCTAATCTATACAAACTTTCTCTTGCAATTCTTTTAGACATTCTCATATAATCATCAATAAATTCGGGAGACTCCCCCATGGCCATCAGTTTAATTGCCATAACACATTTCTACAACCCGAGTGAATCCTCACCTACCTCTAGCATCATATCTCATTTGGAAAAACCTATACCTAAACATATATTTAATATGTAAAAAATATAATTATCTTATCTAAAAGAGGTATTTAAATATATAAAAATTGAAAGAAACGATATCTGATTTCCAAGGCGTTGGCTATCCGTACGAACACACTTTTTTGCAAACGGAACCTTCTATTGAAATCGCTTGGTTGGTAGACACAGTTATCCACAAAATAATCGCAAACTAGATGTTCATGTCATTCTTCGCGAACTAGATGGTATGTATTTATAGGTAGAAATATTATTTTTATTTGAAAAATTGACCGTTAACATTGTCAAATGGGGTCAAACTCAATTTTTATTAGATGAAACACGCGTTGCAAGTCGTTCTCATTACCGCGAGGGATAACATAACACCACATCGGGGAGATGTTCAATCTGTGGTAACGGCGTTAAGTCGTGTCCACGTCGGCCATAACGGTCCGTTGTTGTCCCATACCCAGCTCTCTTATGTACTTAAACTACACAATATCACCCCTAGCTATTATCTTATGGGAAATTGAATAAAATAATTACTATAAATGAATAATTTACTAAAAGAAATGAAAATATGATGATATTCCTCAAAATTAAGCCATTTCAGAGTAGTATTATTCATTTTGGAGTAGGGAGTGGTAGGTAAAGTTTCAAATCCAAAATGTGTAGCCATACATTTTGGATTGTCAATTATGAATAACCATAGTCAAAATCGTACATATTGGACTCACATTCCATACTCTGTATTTTTATTATGAATTGCTATTGTACATTCCAGACATTAATTTTCTTCTACCCTACATAACATGTGTATTGTATCTCCTTTTTTTTTTCACTTGCAACCAAATATCTGTAATTATGTTTTATAACTATATAAAATGATTTTCTCAAATAGCAATCTCAAAAAAAGATGTTTTGCCAACTTGCATGCTTACTTGCATAACCTTGGGACCTCGAACCCCCTTAATTTGAACTATTTCTAATTAAGAACAATTTTAGATGGTTTTATAGGAGTGGACAATTTTATGGAGGGCTTTTAGGGTTTCTGGAAGCCTCCTAAAGCTGATAAGGATAATTGTCTTGAATAGATAAAATCTGATTATTTTATTATTCAAATCATGGTTTATCCTTGCGATCCCCTAGCTATAAATAAGAACCTTTGGCTCCAATCTACTGAATTCGATCTAGGCTAGGGTTTATGATTGTTTCAATAATATGTTGTTATAATGAGAAAATACATAAATCTCTAGGTTGCATGTGCCCATACATAGATTTTATGATGCTTCTGCTGTGCAATTAAGTTTAATGTAACATACAAAATCCATTAGGGTGGACCCCGATATTACTCCCCGATGCCTAAGTCCGACGCCATTTAGAAGGGATTGTAAAATTGCTTTGGTTGTTTGAACTCTACCTTGTTGATACGTATTGAAGGCTTTATATATAAACAAGGTGATGCGGTTTCTTGCTTTCCTAAACGAGTGTTGTAAATGTCTAGGGGTTGCAAGGGTAGTACCCTTCAATATTATAATGTTGCATTTTCAGTGTTTTATGGGATATTTCCTTAAAATCCATACAAACGATTTCTTTTGCTTTTAATATGTTGCTAGGCGATCTTTTCCTGGCCGGTTAACTTGATATAAGAACTCCCGACCTGCTAAGTATGTGGGCCCGTTTCTTGGTCGCGGACTGATCTTAATCTATGATGTTATTTCTTTGTGTGTGAGCTGATCCCCATACACCATTAGTTATCTATTATCTTGAATGAAATTGGGATGGTTTTATTACCATTAAAAATAAATTTTTTGTTCTATGTTTTGGGATGTTACACATAGATAATGTGTTTCCCTATATATTAGTAGATTGCATTTGTGGTAGTCCTATTTATTGTAAACTAGTAGTATCCTAAAAGGCCAATCTTGGTGCACCAGAAAGAGCTCAATTTGAGGTCTAGAAATATAATTTTTTGGTACTCACTGATAAAGATTTTTATTTGGAAATTATAGATTATTAGAAAATTAATTGCCTAATTATTTGAATATGAATTGTATCTTGTAACATAAAAACATATGTTTTTAGTTACATGTTGTTTGAATATGAATTTGATCTTATATGTGTCCTCTGAGAGTATTAGCTTGCACAAATTTAGTACATATTGCATGTACATATATTTCACATTCTCATTGCTTGTAGATTTGTGTTTGCATGTACACTTCTGATGATATGTTATGTGAACTTACAGAAAGACAATTTTGAAGGTTAAATGAGTAATTTAACTCTAAATATCTAAGAGTATTAGCTTGCACAAATTTAGTACGTATTGTATGTACGTATATTTCACCTTCTCATTGCTTGTAGATTTGTGTTTGCATGTACACTTCTTATTATATGTTATGTAAACTCATAAAAGGACAACTTTAAAGGTTAAATGAGTAATTTAACTCGAATCATCTTTCTCATATACTTGAGGCAAGCATCTCATGGAGGGTCTCAAGGAAGACCTAATAAAGCTAGTCGTTTAACTCGAATCATCTTTCTTTTGAAGTCCAACGATCAACATAATTTTCCCTATAACCATTGCAAGTTCAATGTGAAAAAAATTGAAAGTTTAATGCTGTCTTTTCATATTTTAATGTATTTATTAATATCTCTTGATTTTGAATTTATAAAATCAATTTTATTTATGGATATATCCATTAATGTTCCTATATATTTTAGGCTCATTAATGATAAATTCATGATTTTATTTTTTTAAACAAAAAGACCAAAATACCCGTAATTATGTAAAGAAAAGGACAAGAAACAAACCATGGTTTACAAATTTGAGATTATAGCTACTAATATTGAATTATAACATTTTCAGAAAAGTCTTTATATTTTGAACTCATTAATGATAAAGTCATTTCATATTTTAACATAAAATGACAAAAAAAATATTATCTTACTATAACTTATTTTATTCTGTCTGTCTAAGACATGATATTATGCTATTGAAATAATACAAAATACTATTTGTGTTTGACAAAATATATTATTTTACTATGTTTGTACTATATTTTTTCTGTTTTATCGGATTAACTTTTAATATTTTAATAAAACAATACAGCCTAAAGCCTAAGAGAATACAATTAAAGGAACAATAAAATAATACAATCTATGAGACAAATAGAATACATAAATATTTAGTAAAATATTACTCTCTCTCTTTTTATTTAAAAAAAAACTATGTCATGACTTTATCGTAAAAAATAAAACGGTTAAAATTGAAAATTACCCACTTAAATCTCAAATATATAAACTAACTATCAGGTTTTATACCTTTTTTTTAATAGACAATTGCTTATATTATGTCTATGTTTAAAAAAATGAAATTATAACTTAATCGTTAATAAAAGTAAAAACTCAAAGATTTTACCGAATATTATGAAGTTAATTATAAGAAAATAATGCACAATCGCTCCAACCCACAAAGCTGTTGGAACAACAGTTTCTGTAGAATATAAAAACGTCACGAATCTCAAAGTGGTAAAAAGGGAGTGAGAGACTGAGAGGTGTGTGAACTGTGTATGAAGTTAGCAACAACATTTGGACGTATTCACGTAAACAGGAGAGAGAAAGAGAGAGAGTGTGCGTAAACAGGACTTCTTGACGCCAAAGAAGGAATCTTTTCTCCATTGTCTGTCGATTTTTTTCAGAGGAAAGAGGAGCACGGGTTTGTTTCTTCGGACTTTCTTCTTCCTCAGCGATTTTAGGTATAGGGTTCTTCAATTCGAATCTATCTTCCGGTTTTTTGCTTGATTTCTTGAATTTCTGTCTCGGGTTTCGTGGAAATTTGATTACTTTGTGTTTCCTTTTCGTATTTTTCTTGATAAATGCCATTGTTTAGGAAGAAAATGAGGGTTCATGTTTGTTTCAATTCTCCAGGGATTTAATGCTATAGATTTTTGCTTAATTCCATCTGATCTTTTGAAGTATTTGTTTCTTGGTTCTGGGTTTCGTAAAAAAAATTGATTTTTAGGTTTTTTTTTTAAAAAATTTCAGCGAAATCTCTGTGTTTGTTGTGGGGTTTTCCCCTTTTCTTGGAATTTAATGTGATTGTTGGATTGCATAATGCAGCATCAGTGAATATTCAAGTGTTAGGTTCACAAATCATAACTTGAGATGAATGAATTGTTAGCACATATTTAGAGTACTTTTATTTCAAGATTTAGACCACTTTATGACATGATAAACTTCTTAAAAACTTGGGAATTTAATTTTGTCAAAGAAAAAATTTATTGCCCAGATCAGAGTATGCCAAAAATCTTGTTGAACTTGTAACTAATTCTAAATTTCCTTTTGCAAAAGTTATGTTAAACTTGAACAAATTTGAAGGTTCTTTTTATATGTTGTCTGATTCGATACAAATAGAAACACCTAATATACGATTTTGTCTGTGTTTCTAATTAATTCCTTAATATGATCCAAGTTTCCACTTTTCCCTAAATGGTTAACTCAAAAGCGAAAAAAGGGAAAGCAAGTGAAGTCATTGCTTGAATATATAAACGTTCTTCTTGTTATCGATCTAATTCTTCTAAGATTTATATGAATTTCAAGTTGTGTTACATTTTTTTTTTTTCTTTACTTTCAGCTTTATTGATACTCTCTACTTCTCTTTCACTGATTGTGCACCACTTAGGAGTTATAGCTGTTTCTTTTATTGTTGTTGTGAAAACTGAGATTAGTTCACTAATTCCTAAGATTAAACTTGTAATAGATGCAAAAAAGATACCTATAAAGTGTGATTTTATTGACATGTATTATAAGCTAGTGGTTATTAGCTTTTTCTATCAAAGTGCTTTTTTCTTTTTAACTCAATAAGCTTTATGAGTTAAGCACTTAATCTGGATAGCTATATATGGTTGTTTCTTTTTGACTTAATCTCGTTACAATGAATTAACAAGTTATATATAAAACACCAACCATTTACCTATTTGCCCTTATTTTTTCCACCCAACTATTCTCATGATACAAGAAACAAACCTTATGTATAAAATATTCAACATTTTGGCTGTGTTTGGCGCGCCTTATTTTTTGAGCTTTTTTAATTTGTCATGTTTGGCAAGCTAAAAAGTTGCTTATAAGCTAACTTTTTTAAAAAGCTACTTAGACTAGCTTTTTAGGAGCTTTTTCAAAATTTTCCAAATATTCCCTTTCATTAATTATAAAAACACATTTTTTTTAAAATACCCTTTTAAGTCATTTTATATCTTTCAACTAGCTTTTCAGCTAATTTTTATCAAACATCATTTTTTATCAACTAGCTTTTTAGCTATCAGCTAACTTTTTATTTAACAACTAACTTTTCAGCTATCAGCTAGCTTTTCAACTATCAGCTAAGGCTGTGTTTGGCGCGCCACAGCTAGCTGATAAGCTAGCTTATTTTTCGAGCTTTTTAAACTTGTCATGTTTGGCAAGCCAAAAAATAGCTTATCAGCTAGCTTTTTGAAAAAGCTACGTAGACTAGCTTTTTTAGGAGCTTTTTTAAAATTTTCCAAATAGACCCATCAATTAATTATAAAAACATATTCTTTTAAATGTCTTTTTATGTCATTATATACTTTTCAGCCAGTTTTACCAAACGACATTTTTAATCAACTAGCTTTTCAACTATCAGCTAACTTTTCAGCTAGTATGCTAAACATAGCCTTTATCCACACAAACATCAAAACATGATCAATTCATCCCTTAAGAAACACATGAAAAAAATTGACTAATTTGTAAGATCAAACTTTGAACAGGACATGAGTATGCTGGTGGGGACATGCTCCAGCCAAGGGAAACAGACTTGCCAGCCTTGTTTTTGGTGTTGGTTGTGCTTCCTCTTGTTGCTTACATCTTATTAGGAAAATGGAGTGAGTCTTCTAAAAAGAAAGAAAGGATAAGTGAGCTTGCTCATATTGCTGCAGAAGAAGCTTTTCAAGTAGAATCATCATCAATGGCTGCTGCTGCTGTTGTTATTCCTGTTGTTGTTGTTGTTCCCATGTCAAAATCCAACAATTCGGTTCATAAATGTGCTAAATGTTTTGCTCAAGCTAAAACTCGATGCTCTCGTTGCAAATCTGTTCGATATTGGTATGTAATATATGTTTAATATCAAGAATCTTTAAGAAAGATTGGAGAAAAAGAAATTGGAAAGGAGTTTATTTTTGTTGATTTGTTTCATGTAGCATGTTATACTCTTTTGTTTCTTTCTATTGGAACATTGTGATATGGGAAATCTTAAGCAATGTTGTCACTATAGAAAGAAATTTTAAGTTTTTAACTGCTATAAGAAAAAGGGTTAATCTCAAAAAAGAACTTACTTATAGTTTGTTTTTTTTTTTTGGATTAAACCCTTAGATTTACTTTTTGCCTGAAAAAGACCTTGTATTTTTTCATTTTTTCCGATTTGGCACTTTTAGTGGTCTTTTTCCAAAAAAATTGTAAAATGTGAGGTTTTTTTTCGAGAAAAAGTAAAAAAGTTGAGGGTTTATTTGGGAGAATTTAGAAGGCTGAGGGTTTTTTTTTTCGGAAAAAATACAAAGTTGAGGGCTTTTTCGGAGAAAATGAAAAAATACAAGGTTTTTTTAAGGCAAAAAATGAATTTGAGGTTTAATCCGGAAAAAAAAACACAAAATATAAGGTCTTTTTTGAGATTAACCCTAAGAAAAAAAAAATTGGAAGTGGAATGTGATGATTGTGTAGGTTTTTTGAAGTTTAATGTTTTAAAAAGAAAAAAAGTTGGAAGTGGAATGTTGTAATTATGTAATAGAAAAAAATGGCAGCAGAATGATATAAATCATATAATTGACAAATAAGCGAAAGTATGTTGATATTTCTTGCATTTAGCCTTAAAAAGAAAAGGTTAAATGCAAGAAATAATAATGTATTTTAATTTATTTGTTAGTTTCATCCAAATATAAAGCAATTTTCACTCCTACAATAACAAAAAGAATAATAATTGAGTGAATTTTTAAAAGTGTAACACTTTAATTTAATAAGAAATTTTGTAATACAAATAAATGAAAGTACATTGCTATTTCTTTGAAATATAATTGGAGTTTTTTTTATTTTTGTAGTTCTGGAAAGTGTCAAATAATTCATTGGAGGCAAGTTCACAAACAAGAGTGTCAATTCTTGGAGTACAACAGCAGTTGTGCATCTCCAAACTCAGCTTCAAATGAAGAATCTGTTGATGAATTCAATGAAAAATCAGATTCACAATTTTCTGAATCCAATTTCAAGCATGAGAAACCGTTTTCAGATGATAATTCTTGCAAATTCAACAAAGAAACAGCAAGAAAAGAAGAGAATGTTACAATAGAGTCATTTGGAGAAACATGTTCCACTTCATATGATAGTATTCCATCAAAGGGAACTTTCACTCGATATAAGGTTCTTAATTCTTATATTTTAATAGAATATATTTTTGTTTTTTCTTTTTTATATTTACTAAATACTGATTATTTTAGCAGAAACGGGGTCATCTTGTGCTATCTAAAGAAGACATTCCAGAAAAAAGTAATGTGGATGCGTGTAATACAACGAGTAAATTTGACTCTGAAAAGTCAACTCAAAATGGGACAAATTTATTAGATGTTGAAAAAGTCGAATCAAATGCGGAGTATGAGATTCACACAACAAAATGTTCTGAAAGAAGCCAAGCAAAGAAAAGTAATACAAAATTGCATAAATCAACCAAATCAACAGTGAAAGTGTTGAAAGATTATGAAAGGGGTAGTATGGATCAAGTTGCTGATGTATTATTAGGTGCAATTTTAAATCTTTAATTTTTCATTTCATATCAATTATTTTACAATGTCATATTCATATGTAATGTGATGCAGATGATTCTAGACATGGGGACATGAACACTCTTCATGAAGGTAATAAGGGATTCATGAAGATGATTGGTTTAAAGAGGTCTTCGAAACATGATAGAGTGGAAGCTAATACTGAAAAACATAAGAAAGTAAAAGTAAGTTCATTAATAATTCAATATCAAATCATTGTATCTTTTATCATTTTGTTAATATGGTAATATGGTTAAATGATTTCTTTTTGTAATGTTAGATGCTATTTCCATATGAAGAATTTGTGAAGTTCTTCCGATATGAAGCTTTTGATTTGTTGCCAAGAGGGCTTGTAAATTGTGGGAATAGGTACTTTGCATATTTTGCATGTGTGTGTGTGTATTTGTGTTTGTGTGTGTATGTATATGTAAATCAAAAGTTACACCGAGTTTGTTACAAGGGAATTTGGGATTGGATGAGCTTTCTAGGGCTATTTTCAATGATGATGAATACAAGGGCATTTACGTCTTTTTCACATAAGGAAAGATTGAAAGTGAGTCTTTGTTCCACTCAAAAAGGTGGGACAAAGACTCAATTTCAATCTTTCTTATGTGCAAAAGACGTAAATGCCCTTGTATTCATCATCATCGAAAATAGCCCTAGAAAGCTCATCCAATCTCGAATTGTCTTGTAACAAACACGCTCTGAAAGATTTCATTAACTATCAAATATAGTAAAGAATAAATTACAAAGTGGTCCATTTGCTTTCTGACTTTTACCATGTTTAGTCCAAAATCGGAACTTTTTTTCAATCTTGGTCCTTATTTCAAGGTTTCATATTAGTGTTGGTCCATGATACCTTGACATAAAAGACCAAAATCAATATGAAACCTTAAAATAAGAACCTACATCACGAACTCCATGGGTCCAAAATCGAAAAATATTTCAATTTTGGACTAAACACGGTAAAAGTCAGAAAGCATAGGGACCATTTTCGTTAATTACTCTAAATGACTAAAAAACAATTTTGCCATTCTACTCGTTCTGCAGTTGCTATGCGAATGCAGTGTTGCAGTGTTTGACCTCCACGAAGCCGTTGACCATCTATTTACTCCGCCGATCACATTCTCGAGCTTGTAATTCAAAAAAAAATAAAAATCTTTTCTCCAAATTACTTTTTAAATCAAAATTCAAAACAATAAAATATATTCACTAAGTGTTCTTTATTGTATTTAAGGTTGTGCAAAAAGTTGGTGTCTTATATGTGAACTTGAGCATCACGTATTAATGTTACGTGACAATGGAGAGCCACTATCACTTAGTAGAATTCTTGTGAATATGCGGAATGTTAATAACCAAATTGGTGATGGGAGTCAAGAAGATGCTCATGAGTTTTTAAGGTATGTCGAAAGCTCAAAATTACGTTTTTACCCTTTGAATTGTGTTTGATTTGGTATTTTTTGGTTTTAGGCTTTTAGTTACCTCGATGCAATCTATATGTCTTGAGGGTTCTGGTGGAGAAGATGCAGTTGATCCCAAATTGCAAGAAACGACTTTTATTCAACATACATTTGGGGGACAACTACGATCAAAGGTGGAATTGGAAAACATATTTCTTACATTTGTCTTCTAGGGTTAAATTCATAAAATAGTAATGTACTTTTACTTTCATTGATTTGTTTATTATATCATCGTACTTTTATTTCTTTCTATTATGTCATTGTACTTTGAAAAATCTACCATTTTCAAAGTGCATTACCTTTAGAAGAAAAGTACAATGCAATAATATAAAGTGAAAGTAGGATGCTATAATACACAAATATATGAAAGTAATACCCATTTCTTGCATTTAGCCTTGTTTTCTATTTTAAACAATTTCTAGGGTTAAATGCAAGAAATAGCAATCACTTTCATATATTTGTGTATTATAGTATCCTACTTTCATTTCATTGCTTCAAAAAATCTACCAATTGTATGTAGCAAAAAGGAAAGGAAGTTAAAGTAGGATGCTATAATACATAAATATATGAAAAACGTACATTATTATTTTTCACATTTAACCCTATTTTCTATTTTAAACAATTTCACTGAGTTTGCTCCGATGAAAACTAGGTCAAGTGCTTGAGATGTCATCGTGAATCCGATAGATATGAAAACATAATGGATCTTACATTAGAGATTTTCGGGTGGGTTGAATCATTAGAAGATGCATTGACTCAATTCACGAGCCCTGAAGATTTAGATGGAGAAAACATGTATCGATGTGGAAGGTTTGTCAAAATTATATTCATATATTAACATGAAAAGATTTAAAAACTAGAATGCTATAAATAATACACAAACAAAAAGAAACAAAAGTAAGATTATATAAAAATATAAATATAATAACACGTTTGATTTCCCATTAAAAGGTGTGCGGCATATGTTCGAGCACAAAAGCAATTAGCAATTCAAGAAGCTCCAAACATTCTAACGATTGTTTTGAAGAGATTTCAGGTATCTTTTTAACTTTTTTGCAACTTTTTAGTGTAAAATAAGGTAATATGTGACATGTTTTTTAATAATAGTTTGTTTTTTTTTAGGAGGGGAGTTATGGGAAGATAAATAAGTGCATTACGTTTCCGGACATGTTGGATATGATTCCATTTATGACAGGGACAGATGATGTGCCTCCACTTTACATGCTTTATGGAGTTGTTGTCCATTTAGACACAATGAATGCGTCTTTTTCGGGTCATTATATTTCATATGTGAAAGATCTTCGAGGCAATTGGTTTAGGATAGATGACACACATGTTCAACCGGTGTCTGTGACCCAAGTGATGTCAGAAGGGGCGTATATATTGTTCTACATGAGGTAATTTATCTATTTTGTAGTTAAACTTTGTTTGTTGGAAAATAATACAAGCCTACGTAAATGCATGTCTGTTATTTTAATATTAAATGGAAACCTTAAATGCATGTTAATAATTGTAGTTTTAACGTACTTAATTAATTAACTGATACACAACTCAAAATGACGCCATTTTGAGTGTTTGTGTTCGGTTTGGTTTGTTTTTTTTTATATCTGTAAAAACCAAACCAAACCGAATAGTTTTTGTAAAGTTCAAAGTTTATGTTCGGTTTGGTTTTTATATCTGTAAAAACCAAACCAAATAGAACAGTTTTTGTAAAAACCAAAATTTATGTTCGGTTTTTATCTGTAAAAAACCAAACCAAACCGAACAGTTTTTTGTAAAAACCAAAATTTACGTTTGGTTTGGTTTTAATATATGTAAACCAAACCGAACAGTTTTTATAAAAACCAAAATTTATGTTCGGTTTGGTTTTTTTATCTATAAAAACCAAACTGAATAGTTTTTGTAACACATCCAAAATTTATGTTCGGTTTGGTTTTTATATCTGTAAAAACCAAACCGAGCAGTTTCTGTAAAAACCAAAAGTTATGTTCGGTTTGGTTTTTTCAGTTTTTAATTTTTGTAAAAACCAAAAAACCAAACCGTTCTCAGCACGGTTTGGTTTTCGGTTGCAATTTTTTGATTTTTTTTTTCCACACCCCAACATACCAAGATATTGTGCGCTTTGCGCACCCATTCTTATAAGGAAAATATGATTCATTAGCTATGATACCATTTACAACACCCGAAACACACGTACCAAGATATTGTCTGCTTCATTGACATAGTCTCAGTCCAATACACACCAAACACACTATCCAACCAACTTACTTGATTGAAACATACAATGTTTTTTGTTTATGCGCAGATCATCCCCTCGTCCCCTAAAAACCTACTCCACAAAACCAAAACCTTCCTCCATTTCCGAAAAACACCGGATCCCAAAAGCTCCAAAACCAACCATAAATCAACAACCAAAAGGATTCCAATCAATCACAACCCAAAACATTCCCACACCACGTACCGATTTTTCAGATGCAGCATCAAGCGATTGGTCAATCTTCACAAGCTCAGACGATGCATCTTTCACTACAGAAAGCACCCGTGACTCATTCAGCACCATTGATTATACAGACAACGATCCAATTTCTTCAATCTTCAACACACTTTATAGCACCACACCTGATTATAATTATACAACAGTCAGGGCTTCAAGTAGATCAAATTTGATACCCCCGAAATCGTATCAAGGTTGTGAACCTCCGTACAGATTACAGAAGATCTGTTCATCGGATTCGAGTAGTAATTGTGGATTATACATGAAATATGAAAGTGATCACAAGGATTCGATGAATAGAACTTCTGGGCATTGTACACTTTAGATTTTAGACGTGTTTGGAATATGTTTTTTAGATGTAGGGGAGTAGATGTTGGTGCCTCAAAATTTTACCACAATGCTTATGTAAATGAGGGCCTAGATTTATACAATTATTTGCTTTGAATCGGAGCAAAGTCGTCGGAGTATTTGTCAACTACTTGCACACCATTCAAAGCCTTTGATGAGAACATATGAATTGTCTCTTAAGTTATTTTTTTAAGTTAATTACTAAATCAAACGTAAATCTCAAATTATGCACGTAAAAGTTATTATTAATCTTTTTTTTAGAGATTGATAACATCAGGCATTAAAAGAGGTTTTATTTTGTAAGATTGTATTTTTATAAATTTGGGAATAGATTCATTTACCGTTTTTATTTAATTTGTATTTGAATTTGATCGTCTATTTTTAAGTAGTAATAAAATAAATAGATTTAGGCCAAGGTATTAACATAATAATTATAAGAAGAGATCAAATAGTAAAATCTTTGACTATTAATTTATCATTTCGAATTTGGGGGGGGGGGGGGGGGGGGGGGGGGGGGGACCCTATTGAACATCATTGATCCGGACTGCCGATTGCTGAAGAGGTAAGTTGAGATTGACCAACAGTAACTAAGATACACATTTAAGTATGTTAAAATTTTGTTTTAAACTTTGTAACTAAGATACACATTTAAGTATGTTAAAATTTTGTTTTAAACTTTGAAGTCGTAGATAATTAGTTACCAAGATCTGATTATGGGTGTTATAAAATGGGAAAATATATCAAATTATAAACCGGAAAGCATGTTCCTAACAACCCAACGAAGTCCAAATCAAAGTTCTCCTGAGTCACAAGATTGACTAGATCCAATAATCAAAGGACTACCTTTTACAAATAATAAACGCATACCAATAACATCTATATACAAATCATTATGATGTTGTTTTATAGGTTTCACCTATAAAAGCCTACGAGGAGAACGACAACATAGAGATATACAATTATATATATATATATATATATTATATATATATATATATATATAAATATATATATATATATATATAGGTTATTCTATTTACACTAATTACTGTGTTATTGTATGCATAAATGTGAGTCAATCATTTTACTTAATTTAAGAAAGTGATTAATATATATTATTAAATTAAAGATAATTGAAAAATACCATCTAATTTCATTCTAAGGGTATTTTAGACAATTGAGATAAATTTAAAAAAGGAAAATTCCATATTTTTGGGGATAATTAACTCTCTTGATTTTAAAATTCTAATTTTTTAATTACTTTAATTTTAATTATAACGTAATTTTTATAATTAAACCCGATTTTATTCTGTTAGAATCAGATTCTCTACAAATTTCAGGATACATATTTCTATTAGAATGATATTCTATGCGAATGCCAACACCGACTAATAACACATTTTTGGATACAACTTCAAATTTTTCATTACATTCTTAAAAAAGTAAAAACTTTATATAAAGTCTATGACAATGAAATACTCACTAATAACAAATAAAATTATATATATTATTCGACCTTAATATGTAGCAGAATATATTATTACATATACTCCTATCATTCTATTGTAGATTATTCTATCAGAAGAATAGCTCTTTCCTTGATCATCCATTATACATTTAACGAAAATAACTGTCATGAATCAAATCTTGTAAGAATAATATTCTCTGAGAATGCTTAGAATCACTTTCAAATTTGCGGTCCGTTCTTCAAGCATCAACTTCTGTCAAAACAAAACCAAATTGTAGTTTAGATTCCAACAGAATTGGAATTCATGATTCCATTTCAGAAACATTGACAAGCTCTTGAGAAAACAAAGCAAAAATCTTTGCAACGCTTTTCATTTGTAGAAGAAAAATTGACACAACATTAACATGCAACATACAAAAAAATTATGAGTTTATTACCATCCATACTTGGCTTGTGTTTCTGCTTTTGTGAGAAAGCCTTTTGAGCGCCTTTCTGCCAATTCCATCTCTTTAGATCTCATATCAAAGTATAAAGATCCAATCTGATGTTTCCTCTTGTACAGCTTCGTTGGCTTCCCCTTCCCTGAAGAAGCCGGCTGAAAATAATCCAGAATAGGAGACTATAAGTACAATTCTAGAACATCAAAATCATTTTCAATCTTACAAATTGAAACAAGGTTCTTACTTCTTACTATGAGACCAAGAAAATATAACCAATTACCTGATATGAGGGCCCAAAAGCTATTCCAGTTGATTTGACTTGGTCTTCTCGTGGTCGATTCTTCATCAGTTCATCCTGACTAACCTCAATTATCTCATGCGGAATCTCATTCCTACCTCTCTTGCCAGGAACCCTCGTCATATTTTGTATAGCGGCTGCTTCTGAAAATTCTGGCTGCATATTTCTGTCAATCTAAATTTCTGAAAACCCTAATTCCCAAAATTCAATTGAATCCCCACCTGTCGTCGGACCCTCTTTTGGTCTCACCCCTCGCTGTTAGAATCAGAAGAGAGTAAGCGGAGAGTTGCTAATCAACCCTTGCTGCCCTCGCTTCACCCTCCTCTCCATCCGATTCAGTCGATTAAACCACCTAAAACACCCCCTTGGAGATCAGCGATCTTCTTTGCCTTCCCCATTCGTGTGGCTGCTGATCGGGCCAGAAAGAAAAGAAAGAAAACGCCGGTGATAGTCGGTCGGCCAGTGCCCCTCAATTTATGTAATCGATCTTCCACAACTTTTGTCCCATTCTTTCCCCTGTGCCCGATCGGTCAAAATGACGATACACAAACCAGAAGCAAAAAACGTAGAACGGGGAACGAGATCGATTTTATAGTCCATGATTTAAATTGGAGAGATTAGGTCAATACCATGATTATAGGGATTAATTTTGGAAGTTACTAAACAAATTACTAAATTACCCTTATTTAATTATTTAATTATTTAATTTTTTATTTAATTTTGATTGGCCCACATTTATACATACGATAACACAATACTTAGTTTAAACAAATGAACCTAACTCTCTCTCTCTCTCTCTCTCTATATATATATATATATATATATATATATATATATATATATATATATATATAGGTTAGGTTATTTTGTTTCTAGTAACTATTGTGTGCCAGAATGCACATCTCTGGACCATCAGATGGAATATAATCAAAGATCATGATCTGATGGTCTATGATAGTACAATAGGGTAACATGTACCATATAATCATACAAAATTCAGCATAAGGGCATTTTAGTCAACTGAGACGAATTTAAAAAAGGAAAAGTCGAGATTTATGGGATAATTAATGATTTTGATTTAAAAGATCTGATTTTTTTTCAAATTAATTCAATTTCAAACGTAATTTGTAAGCATAAACCGATTTTATTCTATCAGAATGTTATTTTGTTAGAATGATATTCTGTAATTTTGTCAGAATGGTATACAACTATGAACATAATATTATAAACACATATTATCAAGACCAATAATTTTTAATGAATACAAATTTTATATAAGACGAAGTTTAATAGTTTAGAATAAGTAATTACATTCATTATTAAAGGATATAACTATGAACATAAATTACATTCATTCTTGAAATCTCTTGCAAAAAAAATATCGGCATTCTTGAAAGAATCCTCATTCATTTTTTGTTTCGTTTCTACATGTCTTGTGTATGTTTGACCTCTAAGCCACTTTAAAATATGCTATCATTCTATGAGATTGACATTTTGTGAGATTGACATTCTGTCATAATTGTATTGCATGAGAATGATTTTATACAAGGAGCTGCAAAAAGGAGATAAACATGAGAATGATTTTATACAACATACATTAGAATAAGTAGAATAATTTGAAGTGAACATTTTATCAAACCAACATATTAGATTTCATTCTAACAGAATTGGAATTCGTGATTCCATTCTGGCAGAATTACCCTCATCATATTAGATACTAAGGCGATTTTGCTACTGCTACTAATTGAAGATTATTCCTTTTGTGCTTGATATTCATGAGGAAGATAAGAGATAAATTTTTCACCAATGTCTTTTTCAAATATCAAATTCTACAAGATAGAATACAAACATGATAAAGTAATTGCTTTATATGTTATCTGAAACTATTCTAAAATTCTATGTGCTTGAAGTCGGATGACTTCACCATCTGATTTTTTGATGTACTGGTAATATTCAGGTTGAGCAAGTGAATCATTGACTGAAGAATTCACCATCTTTATATGATGGATCTCAAAAAATCAAGAATATAGTATCAAATGGGTAAATAAAATTAGGGAAAATCAAACACTTACATATAGTGTTAGAACAACTTCCATGACAAAGCCCCTGAATGCAGCTCCAATGGGTTCACCGGTGGTTGAACAGATCACAAGGAAGGGAGATCTAATCTCCGACAGGCTTCCCTTGGTTCACTATCTCCGTCTCCGTCAGGCACCAATCGTGGAAAGGAAAGGAACGGAGGCAGCAGTGCTGCTGTCAAGTGGCAGCGACGGCTGCTCCTTCTTCTATCCGACAACAATCACGCACGGAGGGAAAGACTTCGGTCCTAAGTTGATTGGAGAAGAAAGAAACACAAAAACAGTCAGAAAATGGCTGATGACTCTTACCCGATCGCAAGGAAGGGTTGCAATCGGCGGGGGGAAGTCGCTGATTTTCTTCTCTGTAGTGGTGATGTTCCAGGCAGGAAACGAAGGTGAAGGACTAGGTCAAATATATTTACTTTATTTCCATAATTGTAGGATTTCAATTAAATGATTTCCTTAATTAAAAGTACAAAAGGTCCAAAATACCCTTCAATGATTTATTTAATTATTTATTATTTCTTGAATTCTCGTTGGTGCATTTAGGCACACAATAGTTGCTAGAAACATTTGAACCTACCTCTCTCTCTCTCTCTCTCTATATATATATATATATATATATATATATATATATACACACACACACACACACACACACACACACTCTCTCTCTCTCTCTCTCTCTCTCTATCTTAACCCCGTTCATACACACTTTTACAATACCTCACGACTCTAATTTACGCATCAAAATATCATGGACAATCTGACAATACTCCTAGACTATCTTGTGTTGTCTTCAAATACTACGCTTGATTCGATAGACGTACTCCGACCCCAGTGACTGGTGGAGATTGA